TTTACTGTATATCTCTCTTTTTCTGACCACACGAGCCTTTAAATTACTGAGCAATATGAGTAGGATTAAAGCTGTTGCTTTGCCAGGTAGATCCAGTCCATTACTAAGCTTTCCAGCCTCATGGCTGAGGTACTGGCTGTAACCATGTTTACTGCCACAACTCTATGGCAGTTCAAGGTCCCTGCCAGCAAGCAAGTACAACAGACAACACTCAAGTCCTCTCTTGGTAGTCAGCCCTCCTGCCCCAGTCAGAGTTTTCCCTGGCAGGACGGCCCAGAAAGCCGGCATTTTAAAACAGCCCAGCTTTTTTTCCTGCTATGGCTGAAAACCGAAAAGCATGCATTCAGCTTTTCGTCAACACCATTTAAGTGTTTCCTGGTAGGACCTCTTAATGATCTGCAGGGTTTTTCAGCTGAAGCTGAGTCAGGAAGCCTCTCTTAGATGAGAGCGCTTGCTTGCCTCTAGCAAGCAGAGCAGACCCAAGAAATTTCTGCTACCAAGAAAACATGCTTCACTCCATTCTTTCCCAAGCTTTCTCAGGCTTTTTGTGGATTCAGTTAGCCTCACGTTGGGCAGCCATCTGTTGTAATAGGAGCGGCGGGGCTGCGTCCCCAGCACCCCGGCCACTTGGCTAGCTTATGCCCGAAATAACAACACACAAATTGTATTCTTTTAAACACTGCTTGCCCATTATATCTATCCTCTTCTCGGCTAACTCTCGCATCTGGACTAGCCCATTTCTAGTAATGTGTGTAAGCACCCCAAGGTGCGCTTACCGGGAAGATTCTAACCTATGTCCATGTTGGGTTGGAGCTTCATCACGTGTGCCTCAAAGAGCATGGCGTCTCTGCTCCAGAGCAGAGCTGTCGAGTCTACCCAGGAGAGCTGAGCATGGCGTCTCTGCTCCAGAGAGCAGAGCTGTTGAGTCTACCCAGGAGAGCTGAGCATGGCATCTCTGCTCCAGAGAGCAGAGCTGTTGGATCTGTCCTGGAGCAGAGCAGAGTCTGACCTCACTTCCTCTTCCTCCTGTTTACTCCTCCCACCTATCTTTTAACCTATAAGGGCCAGCCAAGCAGTTTCTTTATTGCTCAACCAATGAAATCAACAGATTGATATGACACTCCCACATCAGACAATTTTCTAAATCTATCACCACAATATGGTCAATAACCACAGGGACCAAGCCATATCCAAACTATAGCAATACTAAACTTCAAAAATCCATAAAAGATTTATGGGTATTCAGTAGCATCCCACAGTGCTTTCCAAATTTATGGTGTGAGAGATTAGTTTGGTAGGACTGTTTACTTTTGATCTTGAACATATGGCTCCCAAGTTAGGTCGGTTGTGGCATTGTTTCAGAATTTGACATGGCAAAGTATTTAGTTTTACTCTCAAGGTCATGCAGCAGCTCTAAGGACAATCAAGACAGTATTATATGAACACATGAACACCTCCACCCTGACTGAGGAATGTGCTAGACATGGGTGGTGCACTTTTTAGTGACCTGTATGGGCCAGCTTCCCAGTGGACTTGGAAAAGGACAGAGAACTCAAGAGATGGCTGGTGTCCTTCCAATGCAGGGTGATGGTCTAATCTCACACTAAGTATCTGGGAGGCTCCTTCCCCGAAGCTGTATGTGAAAGGCACACCTTTCTGGGAGTGATGAAGGAGTCCAGCCTGTGAGCCTCTCAAATCAGCAGCCAGATAGCTCAATGCCTATAGGGAGGAGCTGTGGGCAGGCCTGCTTTTCGTCCCGGCTCCCTCATGGTTAGCTTAGCCCCGGAAGTAACAACACACAAACTGTATTATTTTAAACACTGCTTTGCCCATTAGCTCTAGTCTCTTACTGGCTAATTCTGATATCTTGATTAGCCCATTTCTAATAATGTGTGTGGCACCACGAGGTGGCGCTTACCAGGAAAGATTCATCATGTCTGACCTGCAGGCTGGCTCCATGGTGGCTGACCTCAATGCCTTCTTCCCAGCATTCTGTTCTGTCTACTCTGCCTAATTTTCTGTCCTATCAGACCAAGCAGTTTATTAATTAACCAATGAAAGCAACAGATAGACAGATGACCCTCCTCCATCAAATGCCTCATTTTCTGAGTAAAAATGTCTGTTTCCAACAACTGTGGCGTGCATTCAGGGAGCAACAGATAGCTCGACCCCAGTAGTGGAGTGTGAGTGCGGCATGATGGCATGATTATTTGGCTACAGATGTGAATAGACTGGAGTAAAAAGAGACTTCTGCTAGAAAACGAGGACAGAATGGATGGCCAGGGCTTAGTTGCTCTAAAATGAGTTCTTCTTTAATGGGATTTCAAATAGAAGTCAGAATTCTGCATTATTATCCAGATTCAGCAGCTTCCTTTGACCATAAAGGAGGGGACACAGGAGATGGAGGGACTAGGGAAGCCTTTGGGATGATGTAGCTGTGGATAAGGGGAGGAAAAAAGTGGTCATAGGAAGATAGGGCCCCTTGTAGCCCATATGGCAAAATAGTATAATCAGAAAACAAAACACACTCCCCTTTCAATGGGCACAAATGTGGGGGATGTACAAGTGAACTCTTTGTAAACCAAATTTCAACCCCTATCTGCCCATTATTCAGTGAACTTCCTACATTCCCACACATATCAGTCTGGTACTGTTTCCTCAAATAAGAAATTCATGAGGAACTACAGTTTTCCAGGAGTTCAACATCTGTAGATGGATTTTTCTTTGGGTCGCTAATCAGCTTCCAAAGAAAGACAGAGACTTATTAATTCTGAGTGCTTGGCCTAAGTTTAGGCTGCCCCACTAGCTCTTTTAACTTAATTTAACCAGCTTCTCTTCATCTATGCTTTGCCTCCAGCTTTTTACCTTTCTTTCATTCTGTATGTCCTACTTTCTCCTGTTTCCTCAGCATCTATCTGGCCCTTGGCATCTTCCTGGTGTCCTTTTTCTTTCTCCCATTCTTTCTCCTCCAAGCCTAAATTCCTCTTTGTACTTATTCTCCCTGCCAGGAATTTCTGCCTACACCACCTTCCTTGCTATTGGCCATTCAGCTTTTATTAGACCAATCAGGTGCCTTAGACAGACAAGGTAAAATAGCAACACATTTTTATATAATTAGACAAATATTTGCAACAGATATCAGGAAAACTGGTTTTAGATGCCTGTGACACATACTGATGAAAGGGCCTGTGATGCAGTTGGCACAGAAGTCTGGGGTACAAACACATGCATGATAAAAAGAAAATTTCTGTGAGACATGCGGACTCAGGGTCTAGTTTTAATGACCAGATTGGGATACTGGTCCCAAACAGAGCAGCGAATTCAAATGACTCTTGAGTTCCTGGGGCCCGAGGAAAAGCAAATGCTCCCTGGGAACACTGTCCCACCTCAGAGTACAGGAAAGTCCCACCTCAGGGTACAGGAAACTCTCTAGAAACGAGACCCACAAAGATGAATTCCTGAGAAAAAAAATTAAAAACCACAATTGGATCCACCACAAAAGAAGTGCTGGCAGCTGAAACTCAAGCCAGATTAGGTGACTAAGACTGTTTTGCAGGGACTGGGGAGATGGCTCCACGGTTAAAGTTGCTTGCTGCTCTTCCAGGAGAAACAAGTTCAGTTCTCAGCACTCAAGTAGGGAGGCTCACAACTCCCTGTAACTCCGGCATCAGGAGCTCTGAAACCTTCTTCTGGCCTTATCGGATATCCTCACATGTGATGCATACATATTCACGTACACATACCCATAAATAAATAAATCTTAAAGAATGTTTTGCAATATGGTATTAATTACTATGGTAGGGTGCTTATGATTCATTTTGTAGTAAAGATACCAGAACACCAGTTTCCCCAGTGATGGCTAATGAACAATTGAGAAGAGGGGTCTAGGAATGCCAGTCTGGGGGTTGAGGGGGAGCTAGAGAGCTTGTCTTAAATTGAGTACATTTACTTGAGGGAGATTATGAGGACTATGGGTAGTAACTAATACTCTTCCCAACTATACCTTGATGTTGCTGTTGACTTTCATCCCTAACTTTAGCCTTTTTCTGTGTGGTCTCTTGGTGTTAAAGATAGGTGAGAGCTGACATGGTTCAACAGTAAAAGCCCAGTGACAGGAATTTGATATCTGGGAGACATGGTGGAAGGGAAGAACCAACTCCTGGAAGTTCCCTTCTGACCTCCACATGTATGCTGTGGCTTGCAACACCACTCCTCAGTAATAAATACAAGTGAAAATAGTAAAAAAACAAAGCAGGTGAGATAGAAATTGATATTTTAAGTATTTTCCTCAGGTAAGCAAATGTCAATACAGTCAGATCCAGTTCCAGAAGGTGGTTATGATGGCAAAATGGAGAATGATGTAGCCTAAACTTCCCTTTGTAAGTTAGGTAGACCACTACTGTCTTTCTGGAGTCAGACTCTTCCAAATTATGTGTCTTGCATGTCAATAGGTATTATGTGGAAAAGGGGTTCTATGTCAGAGCAACTTGGAACTTCTTTAAAAAACAAAGAGGGGCTAGGGAGATGGCTCAGCAGTTAAGAGTGTATACTGTTCCTATAGAGGTCCCGTGTTTGTGAACTACAACCATTTGTAATTCAGTTTCAGGGCATCCAACATGCCTGCAAATCATCCATCTGCGTCAAATAAAAAAAAAGTATAAATCTAAAAAGGAAAAAGAAAAGTGTATTATCTTTAAGTTGCCATTGCATAAAAAAGTGGATTCTAGGCTGGAGAAATGGCTCAGCTGTTACAAGCACTGACTTATCTTCTGGAAGATCCAGGTTCGGGTCCCAGCACCCACATGGTGGCTCACAACAGTGTGCAGCTTCAGTTCTAGGGGATCCAGAGCTGTCATCTGGCCTTCTAGGGTACTGCAGAAATGTGCACAGACATACATACAGGCAAAACACCCATATATGCTAAAAAAAAAAAAATCTTGAAAAAAGAGATATGGATTCTCTCCTGACTTCAGAAGCAGGAGTCAGAAAACAAGCTGTTCACAGGGTTGCATCCTTCTTGAACCAGCTCTTCAGGGAAGAGGGCATTTCATAACTCTCTCACGCTAGCGCAGCAGTTCTCAACCTGTGTGTCACCACCCTTTGGGGTCACCTAAGACCATAGAAGACAGATATTTACATTATGATTCATAATAGCAAAATTACAGTTATGAAGAAGCAACAGAAACAATAATATGTTTGGGGGTCACAACATGAGGAACTGTGTTAAAGTGCCACAGCCTCAGGAAGGTTGAGAACCACTGCTCTATTGTTTGCTCTCTTTGTCTCTGAACCATCACCCTCCACTGCTGCCTCATTCTTCACATACTGTTTATGCGGTAACCCATGTCACCTTTTCTTTTTTATCAAGCAATATCTGAATATTGCCTTTAACATTTGTAGATGCTCATTTTGTAAGATTCCTTTCAGCCTATCTGCTATTTCCAGCAAATGATTATCATAACCCACGTACAAACAGACATGCACGATTCTTGGGCCAGCAGCATGAAAGAGTAGATAACTCAAGATTACAGCTATGTATTAGCTTCATCTGTAAAAGTTGATCATATGGGCTGGACATGGTGGTACACACTTTAATCCCAGTATTTGGGAGGCAGAGGCAGGAGGATCTCTGTGAACTGGAGGCCAGTGTGGTCCACATAGCCAAGTTCCAGGACAGTCAGGACTACATAAAAACCCAGTCTCAAAAACAACACCCCTCCCCCACCAACCTGAAACCAAACCAAACAACAACAAAAAAAGTTGATTACATGGGAGATTCAAGGTAAGTAAAGTTGGCTCTTACATTGTTCTCTTAAAGGCAGAGTAAACAAATAGGCTGAGCACATAGCAGGGCAGCAGTCTCAAGTGACCTCAAGGTATATTACTAACTCTGGCTGTGAGGTCCAGCAAAAGCTCCATTCTCTTAGAATATAAGAGCTATTTTATCAATGCATTGCCACAGTTCCTCCTTTTTATTTTATTAAAGAAAAAGCATGTTGATTTAGATGGTCACTGGTTGGTCAAGGCATGGTATGTTGTAGGGCCAGCCTGAAATCTGCACCACTTCCTTCACGGTTCCTTTTGAAACGTTAGCAAAGGCATGATAAGACTTTGATTAGGAAGACAATCAGAATGGCTACCTCTGTAAAAGATCACACCTTGAGACTTAGACCTTGTGTATTCATAGTCACGGTTCTCTAGAGTCAGAGAGCTCATGGAATGAATCTCACTCTTTAGAAAGGGGATTTATTAGAATGACTTACAGGCTGCAGTCCAGCTACTCCCACAACGACGAGCTGTGAACACAGTCCAAATTCAGTAGTTGCTCAGTCCTACAAGGCTGGTGTCTCAGCTGGTCTTCTGCATTCGCTGGAATCCCAAAGAAGTATGCTCCAATGCCAGTGAGAGAAGGGATGGGCTAGGCGAGGGGAAGCAGGCAAACAGCAAAAGCTGCCTTCCTTTATGTCCTTATATAGACTTCCAGCAGAAGGTGTGGCCCAGCCTAAAGGTGTGCCTTCCCACCTCAAGGTCCGGAACAGAGGTGGATTCCTACCTCAAAGGTTTGGATGCAAAGTGTACTCATCCACTTCAAACTAAGCAGAAAATCTCACAGGTATGCCTTCCACGTCAAGATTGTAGTTCATTCCATATATAGTCAAGTTGACAACCAAGAATAGCCATTACAAATCCACCTCTTGTTAACACACAATCATATCGTCTTAGGTCATGATTAATTTTCAAATGAAAACAACCAGGTCATAATATGCCTAATCATTATAACTATCTCATGTACAATCACAAACACATTTATTATATATTCAACCAGGTCATAATTACACTTAACAAGATATAACTATCCCTCATACAATACAAACACATTATAAATTTAAAATATGTGGCAAGATCCCTTGGGGGGACATCCTATTAGTGTTCTTTTAATTGATGTTACATCATATATGGAATTGAAAGAAAACACAAATATCTGTACATGTGTTAACAAAATACAGCAGAAATACTCATGTCAACTATAATCCTCCTGTTTTGCCGCTGGCCATGTGGCCTTGGCTGGTATTTAAAACTACCTTCCTCTCCTACCCATTCTGTATTTCCTCCACCCTTGGCAAGCACATTAGCAAGTCTTGGTTCTTTTTCTGGAGGAGAGACCCATACCTTCATTTCTGATGTGTCTGTATCCCTTGTCATCCTGCCTGGATTAGGCTGTTGTAAATTTCCCATTGACTTTAATCACAGGACATGGTGGCACCAAAAGATGCTCTAATGGATCTCCTGTACTTCAGAAAGAATCCTTACTTCCATTGTAGAGAGGCAATCCAATTTCCCTTTGGTAATCTGGATCAATCACATTCCTAAAACTGTTACCCCTTGCTTAGCCTGTTGGTTTAAGGGCATTAGAAGCACAAAGTGACTAGAGGGAAGCTGAGCTTCCAATACAATGGAATGTGTGGAACCAAAACTTGTAGGTCAGCAGAATTTAGGGTCACAGGAACAGGAAACAAATTTTTTCCTAGTGGGTCACTAGGGGTGATACTAAGTGGAATTATTCCCTTTTCTACCTCTTGATCCCTAGATCCATGGACCCTTGCTAATGGGAGAAACTGTACCATATATTTGATGTTGATTCAAAGCATATATGGCCTTTTGGAGAACCCTGCCCCAGTCCTCCAGGCTGCTGCCACCTAATTGGCACTGTAACTGTTTTCAAAAGGCTATTCTATCATCAGTATGGTGGGGAACATGCTAGGAACAGTGGATTCCTGATTGTGGGCCCATTGTTGCATTTCTCTGGCTGAGAAGTGAGTTCCCTGGTGAAGCAATACTGTGTGGACTACCATGTCGGTGGATCAGGCATTCGCTAAATCCACAGATGGTATTTTGGCAGAAGCATTATGTGCAGGAAAGGCAAAGTCATAACCAGAATAAGTATCTACTCCAGTGAGGGCAAAGCGTTGTCCTTTCCACAGAGGAAGTGGTCCAATGTAGTCAACCTATCACCAGGTGGCTGGCTGGTCATCCTGGGGAATGGTGCCATATCTGGGGCTCAGTATTGGTCTCTGTTATTGGCATATCTGGCAGTCAGAAGCAGCTGTAGCCAGGTCAGCCTTGGTGCATGGAAGTCCATGTTGAGCCCATGCACAACTCCCATCTCTGCCATCATGGCTGCTTGGTTCATGGGCCCACTGGGCAATGGCAGGAATGGCTGGGGAAAGAGGCTAACTGTCCAGAGATTACTGAACTCCTCCTCAGCTGAAGTCACCTTTTAGTGAGTACTTACATGATAACTCATACCTGTCTCCCACACTGGCCAGATAGGAGGGCTAAATGGAGATGTGTGGGAACCACCACCCCTGTATCTTTCACATCCTTGATGGTGGCACTAGTTTCTGCAGTTCCTCTAGGGATGTGTTATTGTTTCTGATTCACTATTTTCTTTGGCAATTGCCTCTGGAATTCTAAAGGCTTCCATTTAGTTTTTCTAATCATAATAGCCCCCACGCCATAGGTCAGGAAACCAATGTGACATTTGTACCAACTTCTAAGTATATCTATCCCAATTACACGTTCTGGTACTGGGGAAATAACTAGAAGGTGAGTTTGGGGATCTACTGTGAGTTGGACTTCAGCCAAAATTCCATTAATCACCTGGCCTCTCTTAACCCTCCTTTAACTGGAGGGCTAGTGTTTCTTGGGATCTCCTGGAATCAATGTCAATTCAGGACCAGCATCGAATAGACTCTGGAAAGTCTGATTGTTTCCTTTCCCTCAGTGTATAGTTGCCCTTGTAAAAGGCCGTAGGTCCCTTGCAGGGAAGCCTGGAGAAAGACTAACTGTAAAGCTTTTAGCTATCTTTTCAGGCTCTTTCCTTAGGGGAACCTGGCCATCTCTTTATTTAAGAGGTTCTAGGTCTGCAAACTAACTCAAGTCTGGAAATTGATTCACTGGCCAAGAATGTGTTTTGTCAAGGTCCAGTATAGCCTTTCTTTCATTTGTTTGAGATTTTTTCTGCTTATACAGATCAAAGAGAAATGCAGTAGGCTTCTCATTGATGTCATGCCTGGTAACACCATGATTGATTAGTCAGTACCAAAGGTCCAAAGGTCCATACAAATCATGCCAAAATAAAATTCATTTTGTCTGTGCTGACCATTACTGGTTAGGCCATTATGAACATTGTTTTTTCTATGCTGCCAATATGATAATTATGATCATCGTGCCTTGGGCAATTCAGTGCTGCCACCTGGTCCCTGATACCTTGGGGCTCAATTAAACCCATTGCATTTAATTCATCCAACTGAGCAGCAGCATCTCCAATCCTAAGGTTTGGCACGAGGAATAGGGCGACCACAAAGCTTTTCAAATGTGCTGGTGCCCCTCTCACCATTTTGCGCCTTATAGGACTAGTGAAGGGCATGTCTTCTGGACCCTCCCATTGAGAAGGTTCAGATTTTACACAATACACCCACTCTAGCATTGCAATTTCCCTGAGCCTTAAAATCCCTTCATCAACACTAAGCCAGGAGAGATCAGGCATCTCCAACTCCTTTTCAGTAGGCCATCTTTTGATAAATGCTTCAACCAACCACTCAAACAAACTTTTGACCCCCTTTTTAACTGTGCGAGCTTCCATATTAAACCTACAATCTCTACTCAGAGGGCCCATGTCAATAAACTCAGCCTGATCTAGTTTTATGTTCCTTCCACCATTATCCCACACTCTTAAAACCCATTCCCACACATATTCCTCAGACTTCTGCTTAAATGAATGAGCAAACACGTTAAGCTCCTTAGTAGTGTAGTGCACCTCATCACGGACTACACTTTCTACCTCCCCTCTAGAAGCCTGCTTTGCTTTAGGTCCAGTTATACATATAGAAGGAGCTATTGGTGGGCTCTCAGGGACATCAGTATTGCCTTGATTGGCATCTTCTTCAGAGAAAGTCACTGCTGGTTTAGCCGTCAATGACGGATTAATTTCCTCAGTGAAAGGTGAAGGCAGTATTTCAAGGGGTGGGGCCGAGGGTACTATTTCCTGAGGTGAGATAAGCCCTTGAGGATCTGAGGGTGCAAAGTTCTCAGCTTTAATAGGGTCCTCCCACACATCCCCATCCCAAGTTACAGGATCCCACTCTTTACCAACTAATGCCCTCACTTTAACCGCTGACACCCTCTGGGGCTGAGACGTGGATTTTCGCTGTAGTTCAGCCAACCTTACAATGAGGGCTTCAGTTTGATTTTCCACAACTCGAGCTCTGTGGCTGCTGGCAAGAAAATTCTCTTCCAGGGTACACTTAGAAACCTTTAGACTATTTATTCGCATCTGGAGCTGGTCATTTTTGTCACTAAGTTCTTTGTTTTCCTTCTTCACTTTCTGAAGTTGGTTAATTTTATTACGGAGCTCATTCCTATCCTTTATCAGTTTATCCAGAGATAGTAAGAGAAACCAACCAGCAGCATTATTTTCCTTATTTTCCCCCAAACTGTCAAAAGTTGCATATACAAGGCTGTCAAATCCACTGTCGCTTACAATTGGTGAATCAGGATAATCAAATGCTTCTATCTCTTTAAGTTTGTAATATAGTTCGCACCATGGGCTTTCAGCATTCTCCAAGATCCCAGGAGAGGGAGTGGCTGTAGTTGAAGGTGCTGGTGAATTGAAAAGCCTATTCCAGATACTTAAAAGATTCATCTTTATACTTCTCTTTCTCTAGAAAATCTGTACTAGTCAGAGTTCTCTAGCGTCACAGAACTTACAGAACGAATCTCTCTCTCTGAATGACTTACAGGCTGCAGTCCAGCTACTCCCACAACGACGAGCTGTGAACACAGTCCAAATTCAGTAGTTGCTCAGTCCTACAAGGCTGGTGTCTCAGCTGGTCTTCTGCATTCACTGGAATCCCAAAGAAGTATGCTCCAATGCCAGTGAGAGAAGGGATGGGCTAGGCGAGGGGAAGCAGGCAAACAGCAAAAGCTGCCTTCCTTTATGTCCTTATATAGACTTCCAGCAGAAGGTGTGGCCCAGATTAAAGGTGTGCCTTCCCACCTCAAGATATGAATTAAAGGCCTGTGTCTTCCAGCCTCAAGATCCAGATCAAAGGTGAGTTTCTTCCTACCTCAAAGGCCTGGACTAGAAGTAGATTCATTCATTTCAAACCAAGCAGAAAATCTCTCATAGGTGCATCCTCCATTTCTGGATTGTAGTTCATTCCAGAGAAAGTCAAGTTGATAACCAAGAATAGCTATCAAGTCCTGAAAATCACAGAAGGGTGCAGTCAGTTACTAAACACCATCTTAAAGTGTTCATTCTGAAAATAGAAATTTACAGTTGCTATGGTTTGGCTAGGAGTTAAGGCCACTGGAACAGCTGGAGTGGTAACTGTGGCAGCTATGAAAGCTGCAAGAATCACTCCAATGAACTTCATATGTGCATGTTCTGGCGCATAACTAAATTGTATTTTTTTTTTTTTTGGAGACAGGTTTTCTTTGTGTAACAGCCTTAAGCTGTCCTGGAACCAGCTCTGTAGACCAGGCTGGCCTTAAACTCAGAGATCCACCTGCCTCTACATCCTGAGTGCTGGGATTGTGTGTACCACCACTGCCTGCCTCTACATCCTGAGTGCTGGGATTGT